TGTACCAGGAGAAGGATCCCATTACCTAAAGGAACACCATTACCCTCTCCTAGGTCCTCCAACTAAGAGGGGACCCATAACCATGAAACCCTGCTTAATAAACATGGGCCCCTAGATTCCTCTCTACACCCAAGGGCAAATTGTCCTCCTCCCTATCAGGGGCTTCCCTTTGATCTACTAAAATGGGGAGAGCCCCCTCCTCCCCTGTGGAAATCCCCTTCCTGGTTAACTCACAACTCTTTGGTGGGGTAAGCCCATCTCTATCTGTGGGTTGGACATGGGGCATCCTCCCTCCCTAGGGTGGTCAGCCCATCTGGTTACCACTTGCTGCAGGAAGGTCCCAGCTATCTTGTACAGCCACCAGGCCTGTCAGCCCTCTCTTAGCCCCCCCTGCACCACCTTGTGCACTGAAAGGGGGGTGCCTGCCGCATGCAGGGATGGAGATCCATGCTGCTTCATGCAGCTGCAGTGTCCCATCAGTTCTACTCAGCTGTCCACCCCATGCACCACCCATGCACTGAAGGGGCACCTTCCTTCTGCAGGATTGGGGACCTCATATAGCTGAGGTCCCATCCACTCCCAGACCCTCTCCTGCCCTGTGCACCAAGGGCTCCTGGACCCTCAGTGCATCGACCCATGCACCAATGCCATGGCTCTTGCCATGGCAGGGCAGGGGTGCAGCCACTTGCTGCTTCCTGCTCAGCGGAGACATCTTCAGGGCACTTCTGGGGCAACTGCTCCACCCCACTGGTCAGCTCCACCAGCTCTTATGCAGCCCTTCTTCATCATCCCTCCTCGAAGCTGCCAGTGTGCTGGGCATGCAGGTTTTTACCCCTTCCAGGAGCTCCACCCCCAGATTGAAGACAGACCAATAGGAAAGCCTGATGGGTTAATTGACCCTCAGATCCTCTTCTTTACCTCACCCCTGGGTCAGGGCAGGGCAAGCTTGCCTCTTGATCGGTGGAAATGCCCCACTAATTGGCCTGAACCATTTTGAGCTCAAGTTAACAAACTGGGCTGCTGGTGAGCGCACCAGCCAGCCTGCCACATTCATTTCCACAGGGATTCTGAAATTTGAAATAAAAAGTTCTATTATGGAACACAAGTGTGCATGCACACACATGCAAGTCTTTATGGTACAAAGTTACACACACACACACTTTAAGATAGAAACGCAGTTCCACTTGTGGGGTCTGCACCCGGTGGCAGGAAACATGGAGGTCACTGGAACCAAAAATAAGCCAAAATTCTGGGACATACACAATGGCTCTACACAGAACTTCCACAATACTGGTTCTGTATTCTGTATATTTGACCCCAGAAGTCTTGATGTCCCAACTCTGAGAGAGGCTCCTTGACAGGCTTCCAAGGAAGCAGGGTAGCAAAGTGGGAAACAAAGCAGTATTCTGATGGCAGATTCATCAAATGGGCAGGGACCCTAATCACAGGTTGGCCCAGCCCCTCTCCCAGCTCCAATCCCTCCTTCACTGTGAGAGCATTGATCTGCCCCCTCACCCACCCCATATCCCTTCCCGCCCCCCTCCCCGATCACCATAACAGACTTACCAGCTGGATGCAGCTGTATTGAGCACCGTAAAAGAACTAATCACCTATTCATAACATTGTTCCTATGGGAAATTTGGGTTTCTTGTTATGACATTTTGACTTAAGACACGGTTTTCAGGAACCAATTGTGTCACAAGTCTGAGGACTACCTGTAATCTTTTCTGTGAAATGCCTCCGTTTCTACAGCACTACATTTTCTGTTAGAAAGCACCCCAACGAAAAATTTCCATTCTGACTAGCTTTTTTGTGTGTCCAAAAAAAAAAACAACAAAAAAACAGTGCTGGCAACACTGTTGTAAACACATGTGCAAGGCATGAAAAAAAAAATCACAATATTATGTGGAAAAGTTAATACTTGTCAACTTTTTTTTTCACAAAATTCCCATTGATAGCCTGTACATCGGGGTAGGCAATATTTTTTGACCGGAGTGCCAAGAAAAACCACAATGTCTACCTTGGAATGTGCCACAGTGCCAGCATGCCAGAAAAACAAAATGAGGGCAGGGGGTACATGCCAGGATGCATTGGTATAGTTAATAATATTAAATGTTGCCCTTCTTATGTTAAATACCAGATTTTCTAAAAATTGTAAACCTGGTGACAATGAATAAAACCAGATTTACAATTTTTAGAAAATCTGGTATTTAACATAAAAAAGGGCAACATTTATAATTATTAACTATACTCCCTTTGATCTTGTGTATTTGTTTTGTGTGGGTCCCCCCACAACAGCCCCCCAGCCTTGCTTGTGCTCCTTGCCCATGACCCAAAGCCCCTGGCCCCCAGCCCAGGCTCTGTGGCTATCAGCAGCTACCCAGAACTGGGCCGGCTGCAGCTGGGAGGCTGCAAACAGCTGCTGTCTCCCTGCCCCAGCCCCAGCCCTGGGCTCCAGGGAGGCAACAGGGGCCAGTGATGCTCCCTGCTGTGCTGCCCTCCCTGCCACTTCTGCAGAGCAGCATGTGGAACCCAGCATGGCAGGGCACAGTGGGCGGGGCGCAGAAAGCTGCCTGCTGCTCCGAGCTCCCCACTGCCCTGGCCACACTTCCCCTGCAGGTGGGGGCAGCAGTGAGGGGCACAGCTCTGTATGCTGCCCACACTATTTCTGTTCACACAGGGGAACTGTAACCCAGGCAGCATGGAGCTGGCAGTAGCAGGAAGCTTCCCTGTGTGCTGCCACTCCAGGTTGCACATGCTGTGCTCCTGGCCCTGCTGCCCTCCCCTGGGCCCTCTGGAGTGCAGCGTGTGTGACCCAGAGTGGCAGCACACAGAAGGGGCTACACAGGGAAGCTTCCTGCTGCTGCAAGCTCTGGAGAAGTGGCGGGGAGAGCAGCACAGTGGGGAGCATCGCTGGCACCTGCTGCCTCCCCAGAGTCTGGGTCTAAGAGGCAACTAGGGCTGGGGCCAGGACCAGGGCCAGGAGACAGCAGCTGTTTGTAGCCTCACAGATACAGCAGGCCCAGGTTCTGGGTAGCTGCTGATAGCCACAGAGTCCAGGCTACTCCCAGCAACTGGCTGGGAGGATTGCAGCAGGGCTCCTGGGAGCAGCCTGGGCTCCTGGCTGGGAGCAGCTACCCAGAGCTATGGCTGGCTGTGGCATGTCAATGAAAATAACCTCTCATGCCATGCTCAGCATGAATGTTGGGGGTTGCTGACCCCTGCCCTTCATTAACTAAAGGAGTTCTGGTAACTCAGAGAGGTGCATGTTATATGTTGGCAATGGTCACCAACAGGAATGGAAGGATTGCTGACAGATATTTTACTAGAGATTGAATAATAAGGCAGACTGTTTGCTACTACAGTAAGGGTTGATAATGCATTTCAATGGCTGGCAAAGATTGATGCTCTAATAGCTCTATAGCAGTCCATTTTATCCTGCAACATGTATATGAAAGTTTTCGGTCACACCAGCAAAAAAAAGAGCAGGTACACGGCATAAGAAAGAGGAGAAATGGGATAGGTATTCATAACTATATTTGAATTAGAATGGGTAAAGGAGGTAATTTCATTATTTGTTATGAAATGTTTTGTCCTTTTCTGGTAAAATGCTCAAGATCTTTACCCAGTTCAAATTTTAAATTTGATGTAGTCTACAAAAATCTTCTCTCACTCAGCTGGAGTGGGTAAATGTTTTCACAGGAAAAGCTCTGGTCATTCTTGACCTGCATCTGGGGTTGATGCCATGGGGTTCCACCATGTTCAGTCTCAGTAGGCATGCTAGAGCCACAGGGTCATGAGGAGGTACTATGTGCAGTCTCTGTGATATTTTTTGTACTTGAATTCAAAGCAAGATTTATGCTACCTGCTCAAAGGAATATGGAAGAAGGTATAATCTGATCTATTCTTCCTCTTATATTGCTGCAGTTAGTGATATGCAACACTGGGACCTGGTTTAGTTCAGGAATCCTTTCATTTCTTTCATGCATAATAATAGATGGTGTCAGTCTGTAAGTACCTCCAGTTAAGCAACCAAAATACATCCCACTGCCTTTCCAATAGCCAACCACCTGTGCAACACTACTGGTCTTGCTGTCACTTTTGAACACGACTTAGTATTAGCACATCTATAAATCATTACAATGAGTCAGGAGGCAGTGAGGCAGAGAGCTTCTGAACACAAAACAGTAATATTACCATCTGAGCCAAGCAGCTCCATTAATTAAACTAAAAGGCTTTGATATCCATATGAAATAATTTTATTCTCATTTCCCCACCCTGGTCAGTGGCCAGTGTCAAAGCTCACTATAAAAAAAATGCCTATGCTATGCTAGATGCTGAGTTCAATATCAACAGACTGCAGGCACCTGCAGATGAACGAGAATTAATAATCACGCTGAATGAGAGGTCGGTCAGATTTTTTTTTCTTTTTAAAGACAATTGAGATGAGCTATAAATTAAAATAGACTTTAAATGCCAAGAAATGGGATTTTTTTTCAGGCCAAAACATGTCACTGTACATCTATATTCATGTACTACACAATGTAAAAAATATCATTACATTTCAAATTACTTACAATGGCTGTACATATTCAGCAAAGAAATTACTTCAGTTATATATGCTTATCATCCATTAAAGATTTGCATACATACTTGTCTGCATTGACTGCTTTCAGGCCCAATGACATCACCAAATATACTATACTGCATAAGATTATGTAAATATTTAAGTATGTTCTTAATGAGGCCCAAAGATTATTCTAACTTTATAAGTGTTTCGACATTGAAGCTTGACATTGCTGGACAAAAGCAAGCTACTAGTTCAATAACAGAAGAATCATAGGGGAAGAGTATTTTCTCTGATGATTTGTTTGTTGCCTTTTTTTAAGCAATATGGCAAGAATGAAAAAGCCAAAGTCATGCAAAAACTACCTATCTTGATGGTTTATTCAGGAAATGTTCAATCCAGAAGAAGTTACACAGTTGTCTTGAAATATCAGTGTGGCGTTGGAAGGGAAGAAATGATAGGTTTCCTTCTCTGTATAAGCAGGAGAAAAGGCAAATAAAATTGAAATGACCAACAGAAGCAATGATAAGATGTACTTTATCACCATCACCACCAACACGAGATGTAACAGCACTTCTGCATAAGAGACACCCAAAGAACAAGGTTTGTACCAAGGGCAAACCATGCAAGAGAGCAGGAAGGGGGTGAAGGGGAGGGAGCTGCTGGGTGCAGAAGGGGTGGGAGTTATGAGTATGGTGGAAAGGAGTGACATGCAGGAGTCTTTCCTACACCAGAGACTCTTTCTGAGTCCCTGAGAGTAGCTCCACATAGTCTACCCATCCTGACTGTTGTCTTACAGCAGCAGCTCAACGTCTGTGCAGGCAGCTTCTGCTACAGGAGCAATGCCAAAGGGTTAATTTTGCAAACACTTCAGGTGTTAGGCATTATTCTGGTGCCCCTCCAAAACTTGTGCCCAGATCAGGTGCCCCTCTTTCCTACACCTAGTTACATTGCTTTGTACTATGCAGTAATGTATATTACAGTTATGATTCTCTGCACAGTGACAAGCCACGGTTTTATGCGACCAAATATTTCAACAACCAATTAGTCTTAATCTTGCAGTATTATCTAGTACCTATTGTCTCTTGGCAAGGAACAAGAAATTTGGGGCTGTCCTTTCCATAGTCATAGCCATGGACTGCTAGCATTGGGAAGCAAAAACATTGTGTTGGCCCCTAGGCCTATGCAAAGCGGCAAGTATTCAATTTGGATTCAGCTGATTCAGAGGGACAGTGATTCGAGTCACTATCCCAATTCAATTTGGCTGAATCAGATTTGGAGATTCGGCAGCTGAATTGGTGATTTGGCCACAGACTATAATGGGGAAATCACTAAAATACCTATAACTTTGTCATTTTTTGGCATATTTGGATGAAAACAGCAGGAACAGTAGCCTCTTCTAAGGGCATGAAGCCTGCCAGGTTTCAAGGAGATAGCTGCAGGGGATTCTGTGAAAGTGTACCTCAAACTGTTGAAAGCAAAACATATGTTACTTGTGTGTGTTAACTGGGTTTCTGGTTGTAGCTGTGTTGGTCTAAGGAATAGGCAGGCAAGGTTCTTTGAGTAGATGTGATATCTTTTATTAGACCAACTGAATAGTTGGAGAAATATATCTTGACAAGCTGTCAGGTTTAAAAACCCTTC